ACAGGAAGTCGGAAGTGATGTCATGCTGGACAAGAATCAGAGTCCGAATAACATTTTTTCATATTCGGACTCGAGTCCGAATAGTCACTTCGTAGATTTTATGTCTATATCCGGTTGGGGATGCATAGAGTATAGAGTTTCGTCTCGATCTGCATCTAGGCGCGGCTGGAATTAAACGCGAGAAAGTAAACAATTGCCGGAATGGAAATGGGTAACTTGCTAAATCTTAATTTTGCCTGCATGTCTTGCTCAGTCAAAGTTTGACTTGGGCTTTAAAAAAATAATCAGTTGCACTGTCACTTAATAAAAATATCATTTGATTTTAATTTAAAACATCAGTATATTAGATATCCAGAATCTAGTTGAGTAGAAGAGATCTTAACCACATGACTAGTCTTTTCGAAATCATACAGAAGTCGACTGCTTTGAGTTGATGTGGTCTGCAGGGGAGTGAGAAATTCAACATAACCGTCAGGACTGCAAAATCAAGGGACTTAACAAAATCTTTTCCACTGTTCATATTTTAAATTTAGTACATCGTAGTAAACTGGTAGCTTTTGGAACTATTTTTAATCACCTCGTCACATGCTCGAATGTGTGTGTGAGGGAAAGAGAGAGTCCAGATGCAAGCATCTAATGGCAGCTTTAGAAACTAAATATGTAGTACTTTACATAACGTGAGCAGATTTAATTGTATTCAAGGTAATAAATTGTTGCTTTTTTTTTAAAAAATGAAAATACTTCTATTTTACATTAAGTATCACTCGTGTCATTATTACTGCGAAACATTTGACAAGGTACTCACAGTCTATACACACGCACACATCCCCGCATACCAGCAAAAAAATGGATTTAACCATAGCATACAATACATGCAGTACTCATAGCACTTGTTGTGCTTAACATGGGTTTCATGTGAAATCAGCGGGATCCAGGAATCTTTTTGTGTCTGTATGAATTTTGCTATACATACGTGTTTTAAATACAAAGAGTACACATTTTGGAAAAAATTCAAGACCTGAAAATCTGTTCGCTATGTGCGTGTTTGGCTATTTACTTATATTTATAAAAATGCTCAAAGTTGCACTTAAAATTGTTAAAACTGCTTTCAAAAGATTAGAGTTGCTAAAAAGTGGAGTTGTACCATTTACCCTGGAACATTTTGATTCGTTTGCTTTATAAATTACTACCTTTCAATATTGTTTTTGTGTCTTCTTTTTTTTTTCAGACCATTGGTGAGCTGAATACCCTGCTGTTTCCAGGCAATGATCAGGTAGCCCCTGATAGCCACAAGTGAATGTCAGCAGTTGGGTCTGTTACGATGCCGTTATCAACAGTGGCACAGGTGTTGCTGAGAGGCGTCTCCGTTTGCTCCAGGCTTCCCCAGCATGCATCACGTGGGAAATTCTTCCACCAGTTCTCCAAGTTTCATGACTGTAAGTTTTCCACGTCTGCAGTTTCAAGATCTGTTTACAGTATTGAACGTGGTTTCCTGCCGTGTTCCAATAGAAGTAAAGCGGTCTGTTTGGCCGCTGTTGGAAATTCTCATAGGAATAGATCCTTAGATTGCATAGTAAGAAATAAATCTTCAGGAATAGCAGGAGAGGTGAGCCAACCACAAAATGAGAAGAAATACAACACGCAAACCCTCCTGGAATCCTGGTTCTACGAAGTTTCCCCTAGAGGCTCTATGGAGGCCAGCTTGCCGTTCAACACCATCATCAAACCTCTCCCTCCACAAGAGTACCCCAACATGAACAAAGTCATTCTTCAGCTGCACTTCGATTCCAAAGCTGGACAGGAGGTGCCTACCGCTCATCAACTCAGTGAAATTTGTGATCTGTACGACCAGAATGTGACATTTGACAAGGATAAAGCCAATATGAACCTGTCTTATGATGTGACATCAGGCGTCGTTCTCCCAGTTGTGTGTCATCTCCAGGTTCCCCTTCAGTTCAGTCTGTCAGTAACCATGCTGGGGGATAGTGATGTGACGATAGAACGGATGGAGAGTGACGCCATTGTCGTCAACACCGACAGAGGAGACTGCAATCTCAAAAGCATTAAGTGTGGTTCCGCCTCCGCATTCTGTAGATCCGGGAACATTACCAGCAAATCCAACCTCTTGGGCAATGTTCTGTTCCACACAGGCAGATCTGGGTCCATCCGGACAGACAAACTCCAGGGCTCCAGTATTTCCTGTGAAACAGAAATGGGCAGCATGAACGTGAAGTCCCTGTACACTGGCACGGCAACCTTCAGGTCAGACGCAGGAAATGTCCACCTCGGCCACTGCCACGGGCAGATCTGCATGCAGGCCGAGAATTCTCACTTCAAAATAGAAAGTTTGGATGGCGACCTAGACGTCTCTCTCCAATCCGGTAGTGTGGACGTTCATTTCAGCCACCATGAGAAAGCTGACATTGAAATCACCTCGGGCGATGTGTCGTTGAGCTTTCAGGAAGGAGCAAGCACGGATCTGAATCTCGACTGTGCATGGGTGACGGTGGATGAGAACATTGACCTTCATCTGGCAAAGACTTCTCTTCCTCGACACACTGAAGGTTTCATAGGGGAGAGGGGCAAGTCCCAGACCAACGTCCGGACTCTGTCGGGCTCCGTTCATCTCAAGCAGCTGGACTGGATTCAGACCACAAAACTGGCTTCCTTTATGGAGAGGGAGAAACAAGATTAGGCAACCTTATCCCTTTAGTTTAAAATACAAGTATAGTATCCAGATTACCATTTCTATTTTGTGACTTGTATCTAATTTGCACTTTTTTTTTCTTATTTCTAAAGCACCTGTTCAAATCTAGTCTTTTTTAGGCTTGGGTGATCTTCAGTTCTTTGCTCGTATAGATGTGTTATAGCAAACTCCTTTCTTTCTACAGTATTATTTTTATTATCAATTATAGGCACTTAAAAACTTTTTTTTTTAGTGCGTGACTCATGGTACATTATGTACCTATTTATTTTGCTCATGTGTGGGTTCACAATTCATAGAAGGAGAGTGTGCATGTAAGTGTATCATAATTATTATGTGTGGTATAGAGAGAGAGAGTGAGCGGGAGGACAATGGGTTTGTTTGTATCTTTGTGAAGTATGTTACAAAAATATGTTCAGTTTTGATCTGGTTGTGAACAACGTGAAGCGCTTAGAACCACACTGGGGTTGACACTAGATGTACTGTATTAATTACAGCATTATTATTGTCATATTTTAATATAAGCCTATAATATGTAAAAGATATTATAAAAATTATTATGTGTGAATGTAAGAATGTTATGGGAGTAAATGTGCGTTGGGTAGCCTTCTGTTTTTCTTTTCTGTGGAAAATATCGGATTGTGAATGTTTGTGTATTTTATCAGTCTTTATGGGTTTTGAATTTTTGAATGGGTAAATGTTACCCCAGATCTGCTGTATATGATACAGTAATTTTTATGTACACTTTGATGCAATGTTCTACATTTTTGTTACAGCTTCTTTCCTTTATATTCTGATAACCCTTGTCTATACACACTTGTAGCCTACAGGTATATTTTTATCTGCCTGTTGGCAGGTGGTTTGAGGTTGCCACCAGAAGTTCATACTTCTTTTGCTCTCTTTCTTTTATTTCTGTGTACGCTTCTTGCTTTTTTTGTCACTAAAAAACTGTTATCATGTTGTTGGGCTTCACTTTTCTCCAACAAAACTTTCCTGTCAAGTGATGTTACATACTTTTCCTTGATGAAGTGTTGAAAGTAATTGATTTTGTGTCAAACCCAGTTATATTATACCGCCTACTTTGGGACGAGCATAAAACTCGCGGTACAGTGGGGCTATGGAATAACAGGAGAGAACCAATTGCCAACTTGACCAGTGGTAAAAGGCTAGAGACAAGAGGCAAACTTTGGCCAGTTTTGCCTCATCTAGATCTGTTTTGCGTAACTGCCATGCGCAAAGAAAAAGACAAGTAGTCACCAATTGCACAATAGTTCCAACTAAACCTCACACAAATTCAAATTGAAAAAGGCTGGGATCAGGCTGTATGTGTAAAGAAACCTGTAGAGAGACGCACATTAACATTTTTTTGGTTTTACCCAATTTTCGTCAGTCTTTGGACTACCTTAGCCATCATGTAGACATGAGCATATAAGTCCTCACAATATAAAAGCCTAACAGGCACCCACCAGCCTTCAGATCATTAGGCTCATAAGAGGAGATGCCAGATAAATTTTTGCCTGCAGGCCAAAGTCGTCCAGTTTGAAGTTTCTCCTGCCGACTTTAAAATTTCTTGCCAAATTTTCAAAATATTGTCCAAAGGCTAAAAATAATAATAGCATTTTCATAATCAGGAGCGAATTGACGACAGACGCAAAAAATAGGGCACCTCGAGGAAAGACGTTATCAAGCAGCCAGAGAATGAGTGCCTTTTGTCGTGTAGTGTGTACGATACCTCTGGTGGCCAATTCGTTGGTGGTACAAGGGGGCAAATTTACTTTAATCTAATAAGGACGGTACAACTGAAACAGTTGGTGAATGGCGGTGTAAAGACATACATACTATGTTTATATAGGCATTCCTTTTCGTACATTGTATATTGGCAAAACTGGCAGTAAGCAGGGCTGGCAGTACAACTGG